AGTGGTTAGGAAGTCGTCTACTTCAACTTACCTGTGATCCAACTTACCATTCTGGAGTTAGATTAGTATAGTCCGCGGCCCGAAGCGCCGTGCACAACTTAAATTAACGTACGGAACAACCTGCTACCAGCGGCCGCGGGAAGCAACTTCGACTATATTTTTGACTTTACACTTCTAAAAATTTCCTTCTCTGCCCATCCTTTTTCCCCACCACACAAAACTCCATAACTACTGGTTTTGCAGGACAAAATGTTGGGACTAGGAGTATATGAGTGGAGCTACATAAGCTTCTTTTGCCAAAAACAGAATAAATATATATACTTTATATCCCCGATCTAATACCGGCAAGATTGCGAGCTCGTAGCTCAATGGTTAGGACGTTTGCCTCTAACTGGAGAGACGCAAGTTGGAAACTCGAGAGTGGCAGCAATTTCAGCGGCAACACTGGAGTTGGGTATCGCTAGCTGACGACGGCTAGTGAGCCAGAAGTTACCGTTCTAGTGTCCTGCGTCTTTGTCGGTTATGTCTTTCTGCCTATGTATTTATAAATATAACGCAGGGAATATGCCACAAGAGTAAACCGATATTCCTAAACTCGCATCCAAAAATAAACGCCATAAATTATGTACAACAAACGGACATGACGCAGTAAATATCATTAGACTGCAATAAAAGTTACACTTCGTCAAAATATAAGTATTAAAAGTTCGAAATATAAAAAATCAATCAGAGTCATCAAGTCAGACAATTTGACAGATATCGAATAAGTATGATAAGTTGCCATAATAAGCTTTAATATTTTTCTGGATGGGCATAAATTATAGCGTTCATTGTATTAAAGGCGAGGGGTTAGCACACTGTTGTTTTGCTGACATATGGTTACTAATTGGTCAAATATTTTATTGACATAGCCTACAATTAGAAAACCTCCACTTTGAAATTTAAAAGGTCAAGCTTATCCGTCATAGCTAACCAACGTCGACGTGTATTGGATTTTGGGGCAATCTGGGTGGGAAAGGTATTTGGAAAACATTATGCTGTCCAGGCACGTTACAACCAGGGAAATTTGGTTGACTGAAATAAATAGATGCTTGATGCCTATGATTCATTCAGAAGGCGACCTGCACATATGCCACCATTAATAATGTTTTAATTCCGAAAAGTATGCATACTAAACACTTGAGCAATTTCAGTCCGAGCATTCCATTCTACGAGGTTTCTTTAGGCAGGTGTTTGGCAGCTGTAAATAAGCCAGTTGACCGAATTTTGAAAACTCCGTGACCGTGAATGTAGTAATATTTGGGTCGATTTACCCGTTCAGCCTACTGCACATATGGAATCCACCAATAAGCATAAAATAAGCAAAATTCACTAGAATAACTACCGAGCACACCTAATTATTAGATGATTGCTTAGGAAATCCTGCCTGGACAGTCAGTTTACTGTATCCGTATTGGTGGATTCCATACATGCAGCAGGCTGAGCAGGTAAATCGATCCAAATGTCAGTGTGCCACCGTAGTTCAATTGGTAGAGCTTTGACTGTACTTAAGCCTCCCCTACTGATATGGGCTCGAATCCCACGAAGGCCAGGAATTTTTAAAAATTTGGCTTATTGAGCTAATTAATTTTCAGAGCAATGTAAACCATTTTAGCGTCTTTAAGTGGTGTGACAGGATATAAGCGTAGGTACGACATCGAACGTAAATACTACCCTACGTCCTTTAAAGATCAGCAAAGGGTTTTTAATGGTAGTACTTAAATTCCAGGATATTGTCATCCATACAAATGACATAAAATCACCGAAAATTCAACTGTTTCAAATGAGTAATCTGGGCCCGTAAACACATGTTAAGATGTTTTCGATTCATCTTTTTCCTTATTGTGAAATTTTCATTTGCTTATTTAATGCAAATATAGGTGTTTAAATTTATAACAGTGTTGTTTCAGGACTAACCTCACTCCAGTTCTTGTGACAGAATGCATCCACAGCAGCTCTTACTTGTGACCTGGTAAGATTCTTCCCGCCAGTTGGGAACTTCAGGAAGTCAATGACAAAAACGAAGCCTGAAAAGGCCTTGGAAAAAGGAGATAGCGGTAATGGTAAATAAGGTGGCAAACGAGTTTCAGGAAAACAATGTACTGATAAATGTATTAAAGCGTGACAAAAAGGAACAGTTTTATCCTTAATTTCTGGGTGAATAGTACTCCGATGCTTTCATAACCCGGAATTTGTGTCCTTGTCCATGGAGACTGTCGTACTAACTCCCACGTACGGTGTCATACACTGATACATTTCTCAAAGCAACGAATCTTTCCGTTCCCTGGTTAACTTTATGGTTTGTTCATCGGATCGAGTGAACTGTACTCACTTATATGATGGATTCCAAAGACTAAATACAATCCAATGAAAAAGTCTGGCCTCATCCATTGTACCTAATGTCACAGCTGTCTTACGTATCATAAGAGCTAACATGATATAAACCAGAACCATTACTGCATGAAAATATGAGGGTGGTGTAAAAAAAGGGTATTATGCATAAAGCAGCTACCGACAGCATGAATAAAGGTCTTAATTTCTACCTGCTACTCGCGAGGTTCGTCTCTCATAATTATACCAAGAACCGTTGACAGCCACTAGATTCCCAGGTCTCTAAAAGGCATTCCATAATAAGCCATAGGCATCTTCTTGCCATATATACAGCACTGCGTATTAATCTGGAAACACTCTCCACCCAACTGATTGGCTAAAATAAAACTATAACTACCGCCTATTAATTATTTCTTATTTGTCATAGAAGATGTAACACAATCAACTCACATAATGGCATGTACATTTTCTTGTTTAAATATCAAGGTTCATTAGAAATTGAGCTTTCCTTTGTAAGCATGCTAAATGTGCTATGTCAAGTGCTTTTGTATTATTCTAGGTAAGTGAAAATCGATTTAAATAAAAAAAATTATAAGTTCCGTTCTACGGAATAAAAGAGCGAACCGCTGAAGTGTCCTTGAAAATACTCCGTTCCTAGCTTGCATTTTCAACTTTCCGTTTAAGTAAATATAACTTTACTAAAGCCTCTTAACAGATATGGTTTTCTCGAACAGGCATTCTGAAATTTGGGTAATACCGAACCCAAAGCTGAGTAAACAACAAGGAGATTGATTATCGGTTTCAGAAATTTAACAAAACACTGATGAGGTAAAAGTTCTCATGCATTATTTTAATATGGCAAGTGTGGCCAACATTTTCTATACAAAACCGTTCTAAAATAATCTTTCAAGATGAGACCTCATTTTTGCTGGGCATACAGATCTATCACTCGTTTCAACTAGAATTAAAGATAACTTACAAAGAATTTGCCACGCACAGCCGGTTGATAGACATTATTGAAGGAACAGGTTCCCTGGGTGCATTCTTTCTTGGGAAAGAGCCGGCTGACTTCCGCATTGCATTTACTTGTATTGCCCTCACCAACTATTTTTAATTTTGAAGGCATGTTCTGAAACGGTATTTAAAATTACAACTATATCCATTTGTTTATTGCGAAAATTTCAATTGCTTTAAATAAGACCATTTGTTTTAGTATGTGTTGTGAGTCAACCAGTCCTACATTTCCTAATCCACAACTTCGTCAAAATATCCGCTTATTCGAAAGATTTCATGGTTTTACCCGAGCTGCTCCTTATGTATTGCCTGGAGTGTTAATTTAGATAAATGTTCAAAGCAAAAAAACGTTAATTTAGTCTGAATGTTTGCTGTAAACCATTTGGCCATTTTGCAGGTTTTCGTGGTTTTTAATTGCGCGGAAAGTACCAGCTTAGTCGTTTAATGGCAAACAAGTCATTATTATTTATCATGCTTTCCTCTCATGGGCTATTTCAAAGAGTCGATCTAGAGCATTTTTACGTTTGCGATACATTACGATAATTGCGCCTTTATCATATTCAGAAATATTTGTATACTAGCAAATAAATAAAAGAATATAAACTGATGAACAATGTTCAGATGCTTTTAATTTACTCAATATATAAAACGTTTTGGTCTATACTGCATTCTGTTTAAATCCTCAACATTTACAAACCAAACACTGCTGAGTTTATAAAAACCTGTAATTATTTAGCCTATATCTCAATGAAATTTGGAATTTTATATGCATTATGGATAGATGGCAGCGCCCTTCAATGATTAATTTTGTTTAAAACAATTAAACTTCATTTAAAATTTATGAGCCACACATGGAAAATAAGAAGTCATAACGATTTACAAATAATACGGTAAAGCTACTTGAGAAACTCGCTTTAAGCAATATTGACTTGGTCACATTTTTATCGTATAATCTGCTTACCAGTGGTGGGTTAATTTGTGAGCCAATCAGTTGATCTGCGAACTTTGAAGTTACACAGGGTGCCGTAAATAAGACCGCCGTGTCAATTGTTTCCTCATACCCTTGTAGGTGGCAAGGACTTTTTACCGTATTCTAATTTTAAAAAATAATTAGAACATATTAAAATGTGTTCGAATTTATCCCGAAACTCACGGTCCACTGGAGGCGTCTTCTACTTTAGCGCAATAGCATGAATCTAAGCAAAATTGAAACAAGTTTCAAGTTTCTTTTGTTGGATAATTTGCACGCACGTCGTGTGTGGTCCGCTAACGTCAGAAACGTTATGATATCAGATCCAGCTCAAGCCTTTCATTATAACTTGATCGTTTTCTTGTTCTTCAGGAACACAATGGCGTGATCCCACAGATAACTCCTTCAAATTAGGACCAGGTTAAGTTCTTTCAGTGCGTAATAATTTGAAAAAATCACCTCAGAGTTTAGTGCTCTCGTCCACTTGAACTCCAATGTAAATAAATAAATAAATTCAAAGAGCATAGTAAAATATTATTTCAACACTGAATAAAGATATGAAATGTCTATTCCCTATGCAATGTTAAATTTCCTATTAGTGTCAACGCCAATGCTGTCTAGGTAATTTTATAGGCCCGATAATAAAGTACTGAAAAGGTATGTTTGTCGAATGGTTGAACTGCAAACGTTCGGCCAGTACAATGTCACAATCGCAGCCAAAGATTCTGTTGTTTATGGTTTTCAGGCATTTAGTGGAAGAAGCATTGTAGAGAATACGCATATTTTGCCCTCAGCAGTCCAATATTTCCAAAACCCACTTTTTGAACAGTCATTAACATAGGTCTGTAAAAACTCCCGAGGCGCAAAGAACTGATAATCCCGGCGAAGCTGATCTTCTCAAACGTACACTGCCCTATATCATATAGATGAAAGTTCAACCATCGTGAATGTGACATCCATCGTGTTGCCCACATGGTTAGCCCAGGGAGAGTCCCTTGCGTAACACCTATGGCCGTGTCTTCTCCCTAATTTACCGGGCATTGTGCCAAGACAGAGTCAGAAAGACCATGGGCAGAATCGGAGTCACTGGCAGCCAAAACTAAACATTTCGTCTATGTCTGTCACACAGGCCTTTTTTGCGCACAATGCGCCCGTTTTCACAGAAGCGGGAATTATTTGGCTGGGTCAACAACCACGTGTGGGGGTAATTAATGCTATATTATGAAGAACTCAAATTAGCCTGAGTGTCAATCCGGCGGGAATTGAGTTAACCTAAGTTAGACTAAGACAGCCTCCTCAGCTACGACTTTCAGCGTACCGTCGTAGCTTACAAAAGCGTCGGATTGTTTATATTTAAGAAATACACTAAAGTGACATGGAAACAAAGTCCCTAGGATCGACTGCATTCACTTTTCCATTTCCCAAACAGCATTTCAGCGTCCAAGCTGGTTAACCATCTGTTGGTGGAGCTGGACTCATGTGGCATGCGTTGTGTGAGCCTGTGCCCATGCGTGCAACAAAAACTTGCATGTGTGGCATTTGTTATGGGTGTGTGGCGGTACTGAGATCAGCCCCTGCGCTAACACATTTTCTTTGCTGTCAAACTTTGCACTGTCACCCGTCCCCCCGGCCAATTAGCTGCAGACTGCACATGACTCACTCCGCGCAGGCAAGCATGTGACAAGTC